TACAAGAGGTATTTTTTCAGTGGTTTCGCTGCAATACTCTGCAGAACTTTACGAAAATTGAATTGTTACTGTTGCATAAATGTGCCTGCATGGTTGCTACGCTGCTGTTTTTAATTTTTTTTTATTTATACCTGTTGTACTATATCGACTTGGACTAAACTGTTTCATTAATCCTTCCTTCGTTGTGAGCATTCATCAATTGGTGCCACATATGTGTGGTTAGTAGCTCCGGACTTTCAAACGTTTCCATTTGCGGGTCATTCTTTCTTTGCATAATTTCTGAAGCGACAGCTGAGCTTGAAAGTTTATTTATGTGGTTCTTTTCGCCTCTCCTCTCTCCCGCCCCAAACACAGTCTTTTTATGACTTTTCTTTGCTTTGACTTGAAATTTTTTACTTATTATTTTTTCCAAGCATTAACTTCCTGCGAAATGTCAATTTAAATATTTTATTGACTTTGCTGGCGGATTTTTCGACGGTCGATGTCGGCAGGGTCGATATAAACAAAGCCTTGTTACTATAAGTCTTAAATGACAGTTAAGATATCTCTTCCACCCTATTGAGAAATTAGCTTGGTTTGCCTTATGGGTTGTTTAAAATAACTTTCTAATATATGATTTTTATGAAGTGTACAGAATACTTAAACCATGAAACCGAAGCTATACCGAATCACATATCTGTAGACAGCCGGAGCGACAGTGAGAAGATTAAAGTCAATTTAAAAGCTTCGAGATTTAACACTTCGTCATCCCTTTGTATAGGAATAGCATGCATTTATGTACACAAATAACAGTGGTGCAAGCACACAAACGGAGCCGTGGCAACAGAAATGGACTTCGCAAGGTGTTTGTAGTGCAAATGAAAGCAAGCATAGCGGCAAAATTCATGGAGAAGGCAAATCCGGTTCAGTAGTTGAGGGTGTTAGTAGGGGAGGACAAGTTTGTGATAAAAAAGGCAGTTGTGATTGCGGTAGTTTGGGGGGTCGTTAATGCAAGTGAGATTGGAAAGTGAGTGGGAGCGGATTCTTTGTAGAGGTCTCTTCGGCAGAAGACACGAATTGATAAGGCATGTCTCAAGGCCACATAGAAAATCACAACGTCATTGGATAAATCTACTCAACCTATAAGTAAAAACAGTCCCTTCAAAATTAAGGAAGATGACGTTACTTTACAACGGATAAATACCCAAATTAGCCGATATGCCAGCTCATTCCGATTTTAGCATAAGCGAGCAGCTATTTTCTCTTCTAAATATCTTAAAGTGACCAGCATCATGTTTATTATGAAGGGTCATTTCTATTCAAGCGTCCATTCATGTGCTGACCTATTATATGATTGCAATGCATTCCTCATCCCATTTATGTGTGAAAAATAAAAAATACGTAAGTGTAAATAAGTTGTGCGTAGAAAATATTTGCATCGGTGACTTTACTTCCGTATGCACTACTTTAAACAAAATATTGCAACCTTGCTTTCCCTTAGACATCAGAC